CAAACACAAGGCAATATAGTGAGTTCATGGCTTAGCTGAGATTTGAACCAGCAACACAGCACTTGCTTTTCAAAGCTACACTTCGCTATAGAAACCGACATGCTCCATATAAAAAGAAAGAAAGACAACAACAGCATATATTTCCTTCGTTATGATTTAAAATCCAGCATCTTAAAATGAATTTTCATTGCTGCTGGGGGACTTTGCATCTTAAAAGATACAAAGATGTGCTGATTGCAACAGCAAATGTCAAACAAGTGTGATAGAATCAAGTTGGCAGAATAATAACCCTTCAGCAAAATTAAGTAGGAAGAAGCTGTAAACCAGAACAAGTGAGATGATGTCCACTGTCCTATGAGTGATTGAAAACAGCCTTGAGTTCCCTGGGAAGAGGGACTGATTGTTAAACCACTTTGGGAACTGTGGCTCCGTGAAAGAAATTGACAACTCTTAGCACCCTTAACAAACTACAGATTCCAGGTTTATTCAAGGAAAGACTTGATTGTTTAAAGTGGTGTGATATTGCTTTAAATGTATAATGCAGACGGGCTCCTGCTTCACATGGTTTTTGTGAAGATAAAATAGCATGTGAGAGACAATCTATGAGTTATTTGGAGGAAAGGTGAGATGTGCATGTAATAAATGGAGACAGTTTAAAATGTAAAGGTTTTTGGAAACAGTTTTGTTTAAAAATTCTTTGTAGCTAAAACTGTAACTGCATTAATAATTTTTTAGTCTTGGCTGGGACGCCAATATCATCCTCCATATGCAGAAACACTACCCCCATGCAAAGTAGCAGTTTTCCTCATCTAAGTGGCTCATACAAGACTCTTGCAGAAGCAATATCAAGGTGCAATCAAGAAGTTTCTTCTGCACGTGGAAACCAAACACATTCACAGACAGGGAATGTTAATGTTGCTTGTGGAAACTGAACATGGAACTGTACATATCAATCCTACTTAATAAACCAGAATTTTATAGAATTTTATCTCTACAGTAGGTTGGTCTTGCAGGTATGAATGCAAACATGAGACAAAAGTTGAACTTCCTTTCCTGGTATCTTTCACTTTGTAATAATTAGAAGAAGTTACTTAATGTGTGCCCCCCCTTTACCCCACAAAATTACTGAAGTGGTTAATTATTTTTGCTTACAGGGGGGAAAGTTTCTTGTGAATAATTTAAAAAGAAATCTGATGCCTTGGTGGTTTGTGATCCTTCACTGCGTAATTCAGACCTTCTGGCAATTCACTGTGACAGCTTTTATGTGTTATAAAACTACCATGCTAGTAAAATATTAAGGCCCAGACTGCAATTTGCAACTTCTATAGTGTCACTGCACACTCTCTTACAGCTTTTAAAATAATAATTTGGCATTGGGTGATGGCATATCTATGCTTCACCAATAAAGCTTTGCAGAATATCCATTTTTACTCTTCATAAAGATAATGGAAAACAATGAAGAGTCGTAATCTGCAATATTCTGTTGTAACCGTTAACTCCTTGATTGATTAATCAGCCATACTCAGTATTATATGACTTGGGGACCCAATGGCTGCACACCTATGTGAGAATGCCATGGTGCATTAAAGATGGCTTCAGTTTTTATGAGTATACTACAAATATAGAGGGATGCGGGTGGCGCAGTGGGTTAAACCACAGAGCCTAGGACTTGCCAATCAGAAGGTCGGTGGTTCAAATCCCTGCAACGGGGTGAGCTCCCATTGCTCGGTCCCTGCTCCTGCCAACCTAGCAGTTCAGAAGCACATCAAAGTGCAAGTAGATAAATAGGTACCACTCCGGTGGGAAGGTAAACAGCGTTTCCGTGCGCTGCTCTGGTTTGCCAGAAGCGGCTTAGTCATGCTGGCCACATGACCTGGAAGCTGTATGCCGGCTCCCTCGGCCAATAAAGCGAGATGAGCGCCGCAACCCCAGAGTCGGTCACGACTGGACCTAATGGTCAGGGGTCCCTTTACCTTTACCTTACAAATATAGAGTGGTGTTCAACATAGTGCTAAGTGGAGTATGTGAGAGTGGAACAATGTCTGCTCATGCAATGGAACTTTCCCTGCTCTGCTTCCCTGTGCCCCAAACCCTCCAGAGCAGATTTAAGGAGCATGGGGGGCATGCAGGGGAGAAGGGATGAAGGTCCCATTCAACTTGAGCAATAACTTAGATGAATCCTGCCCGTAGGAGTTATTCTACGAAATAGAACAGGAAAAGGAGCTTCAAATGTCACCCCAGAGCCTACAAAGTTCCTTGGCACTTATGCCCTAACCCAGCAGATACTTGTGGTTGCCTCTGCTTTTGGTTACGTATAGCCCAGTGGTGACATAATTTATCCAATCTCATACACATATAGGAGGAGGCCACTGCATGCAAGTTCTTTGCTAAATTGGAAACAACTGTCAGAGAATTCTGTGCATATAAGGCACCCAGAACTGAATCCCTACAATCCAGCACTTGGAGCTGTGATTTTTTGATCCACTGTTTCCAAAATAGATATTGCTGTGTTACGAACTGGATTGGGGGAAAGGGATTTTATCTGTTTTTATGACATGAGTTGCTAATGTGGAGGGGAACTCCACTGGTGTTAATGAGTATTACACTGCATCAAGACTATAAGCTGGTTGAAACAGCCACCTCCAATTTGTTATTGTGTTTGCTTTTGAAACGCACAGGGGTTGTTTTTTCAGAGTGCTTTTGTGCAAAGTGGTTTGCAATTGTACACAACTTTGTGCAATACTTTCACAGAAACGCAGAGTTGCAAGAGACCCCAAGGATCATCTAGTACATAGCTGTCAACTTTTCCCTTTTCTTGCAAGGAATCCCATTTGGAATAAGGGAATTTCCCTTTTAAAAAAGGGAAAAGTTGATAGCTAAATAGCCATTCAATCTCTGCTTAAATTTCCCAGGAAGGAGCATCCACCACCTTCCAAGGCCATCCATTTCACCACTGAACAGCTCTTACCATCACAAAGCTCTTCCTAACGTCATTTAAAATGGCAGCCTCTATCTGTTGTCTGTAAACACAGGTGGGCATGTTTTCAAACTAGTGTGCAATGGTGTTCTCTATTCCCCTGCCTTCAGAGTTTCCACAGACCTTTTTATTTTATTTTTTGCAATCTTTTGAGAGGGGTTGGAAATGGGTGTGTTGAGATACTGATATACAGAGGGTATTTATATCAGTCTGCAGAGGTGGCTAAGCTACTGTATTGCTTCATGTTTTGCCTAATTCATTCATAGACAAGTTAAGGATGGTGAGGGGGAGTGGGACAGCCCTGCAACATCAGTAAGTCTTCCTCAAAAGAGAAAATGCTCTGCATGTACACATGTATCCAGCAGTTACTTGAGAAGGGGATCCCTGGCACAAAATGGATTCTTCTAGTCGTTCCAGCAGAATACGTATTTGATTGACAAAGAGTGAGGGACAGGAACAACATTGGGATGACCTCATGTGTACAGCTTCCCCAGAAGGTAACTTCATCCAGCACTGAATACACATTATCATGCAGTATGCACATGCCCATAGACAACTAGATGCCAGGGAGAAAGCATGGGCGTAACCTTCCTGACATGCTAATTTTCTATTTATGAGAATCCATTCCCCACAGCCATGAGAGCACTCATTTATTTAAGCCCCTACACACACACAACAGACCATTGGTTTGTTTCTGTTCATATTTTTATTGTGTATTTTGAGTTTTTTATATTGTAATTGTGAATCCCTCTGAAATCTACAGGTATAAGGCAGTATACGTATTTAATAAAACAACAACAACTTTCAAACCTTGTCTGAGATGCTTGTGGGAACCATTCCTTAGCTGTATTTGAAAAGTGAGCTGCCGGTTACAGATTCACAAGCTCTCACTATGGGATCACATTGCTTTTACACATGCTTGTCACAAACCTTCAGCACGTCCTAACACACCAAACACTCTCTTTTTCTTCAACCCAGCTCAAGTGCATGAGTCAAAGAAGCAAAATTCACACATTAATTCCATGTCATCACCTATTGTAGCTTCCTCCATGGGATGACAATACGTTAGCTGGATATCTATTTCCCCTTCTCTCTCTCTCTCTCTCTCTCTCTCTCTCTCTCTCTCTCTTTTAAAAAACCCAAACATTTGATTACTGTAAGATGGTGAGAGGCAGCAACATCTGACACATATAAATTGCCTATTTAGCAGCAAAGCTTCTCAAGTAATTACTTAAATGGAGTTTGAGCCTAAATGTCTGTGTAACATTCAGCAGATATTTGCTTGATCTGTTCTTCATGTGTCACCCAGCACATTCCTTCAAGGTCAATTTATCTCTTGTTTTAGTTAAAAGATGTGTTTTGCTGTGGCTGACTGTAGTAAGTGGATTTCTTTGAGAGAGAGAAACTGCTAGTAATATGGTTCTGCCAAATAATGGCTTTTATCCTTGCAGGTTGTTTTCAAGGGTGTATCACCTTTAAGGCTACAAAAAAGATATACTTGTACCAGAGATTGTGTGTTAATTTGAATACTGATGCACTCAGCCTCTCTGAGGATTTTTCACTGATCTGTACTGCGCTTCTCTGTGCTTCTAGGGGCACAAGGAGGATAGTGAAAGATCTGTTTAAGAATAAAGTTCAATCTGAAATAGAAAGACAAGCCAATTACACAACACCTGAGGATAGCTTCCACCTTTATTTCTATTCCTTTGACTAGATCGTAAAATGTCATGAATGCAGGTCAGATCATGTGGCAAATCGATTTTCCTGACACACAACGTGCAATTAATAATGTACCTGTCGGGACTGGAGATCTGCAAATAAGCAGGCAGTCAAGTAGGAATGGGCAATTAGAAACATCTCAGCAATTAATTGTTCTGGCTGAGGAACCAGGACAACATCAGTGGTTTTACAGGATCAGGTGAAACCCTATTGGTCCCTTGTGACTCATAGACCCATAGAACTGTAGAGTTGGAAGGAACTGCAAGGATCATATAGTCCAACCCCTTTCAATGCAGGAATCCTTTGGCCAATGTGGGGCTTAAACCCACGACCCTGAGATTAAGAGTCTCATGCTCTACCGACTGAGCTGCCAGCAATATCACCTGATCCTTGATGAGTTGGTAGATGCAAAGCTATATCCTGATTATTTGAACTGATATGCCTTTCTTGCTTTCCAAATGGTATCTGGGCATAATGTAAACGGAAACAGAGGCCGTATTTGCTATGCCAGAATGCCTCTGGGGCATCAATGAATATGGCAGATGGCAGGAGCCTCTGTCAGTGCAGCGCTTTGCTTTTCGGTGCCCCATGGCTTGCCATCTACCTCAGACTCTCTGCAGCTGTTGGGCCACCTCCAGGTTGTAGGCTCTTGGGCGTCTGCTATGAAGTTCAGCCTGAATGGCGCCACTATTCAAGACCCCCGTGAGTTAGCAGACTGTGCATCCTAGATCTTTGTAGCACCAGCAGAAAAACACACATGTGGACAGGTGAAAGTCCACACATGTGGACAGGTGAAAAACACACATGTGGACAGAGTTACCAGAATGTATTTGGAGTCCAACAGGAGCATAAGAAAAAGTACTTTCTGAATCATGTTCAGCTTCCTCTTACTGTGTATCTAAACCATGTGGACCTTCAAACTCATAAGTACCCAATTATGTTAGGGACCTGACTTTTAATTGCCTGATTTTCCAAATAGTACTGTTCAGCTGCCCTTTAAACAGTGAAGGCTAGAGCACCATTATGTCACTAATTGGAATGGAAATGTATCAAAATACAACTCAATAGTCTCGTAGGGAAAATCTTGTAGAGAAAATCAAATCTGACCTCTTATTTGCACCCTATTAAAATAAATGACTAAATTTGAAATAAATACTTAAATACCCTGAATCTACTTATTACGAGGGAAATAGATGGATGCTGTTCTAATATTAAGGGATTCCTTTTAAGCTGCTGGTTAAAATGCCAATTTGTAGGTGTATTTTTCCATTCATCTATACTCTAAGTGTATTGATCTGTTTATAACATCCATCATAAATTCAGTTTATCTTCCCACCCAAACACTTGTAGCTGCTATGGAACACTTGCCAAATGTTTGATGTCAAGTCTGATAACTGTATAGCATTTGTAATCTCCAGTTTACTATTATTGCAACTGGAAGGTGTCTCCATTTAAAAGGGTAAAACGTAGCTTTTTACGCACTTCCACTTACATTTTTAATTAATTTGATACATTTTAAGTATATCCCACCTTTCAACCTAAAGGAGACCAGGGTGGCAATCAGCAAGTGCTAAAAAAATCAAAACATGTAGGGGAGGCCCCTTCAAACAGCAGCTGAATGCATGGCTGGTGGGATGCAGGGCCAATGGGCTACACATCATGGCTACACAACTCGTTCATCCTGTGTTCCTTAAAGGCCTCAGGGGGTTGAATAAGCCCCCTCTTGTGTTCTAATCTCCAGTTCCAAAGAACAACAGAAAGCAATAGCCAAGAGTCTAAGCATCTAATGCCATCTATTTTTGTCTTCTGTTCAGAACACCTTTGAAGAAGAAGCATACTGTGAGTTCGCTTTCGACATTGTCAGGGACTAGCTGAGTCAATAAAAAGCCTCCTTTCTGTTTCTCTAGCATTGGAATAGAAACTGGTCATCTTTGTTTTCTTTTTCTTGCAAAAAAAAAATAATGCCTCTTAGAACATCCGGCCAGTGAAAAATGCAGGCTTTGGTAATATAATATTTCTAATCACCCAAACTACTGGACAGCAGGATTAGCTTTCTGGGAAAGGTTATATTGGTGTTGTCATACTGGCATACTGACCTGAAGAGACTTGCTTTGTGAAAGTTTATTTTAAAAAGCTTAAAGCTCTGCTAAACACATTCAACACCAATGGCAATTCAGCACGAGGTCTTAAGGATGTGGAATCTGGTATATCAGGAAAAGCTCCAAGATCAAGAATGTTCAAGTCCTGTTTTGGGTAACCCACTTTGTTTTTTATTGATTATGCTGCCACCCACAGAGCTACCCTGTGTGCCAGCTGTTCTTTATCTGTAAAACATGCAAAATTGGTCTCTGCTATTGATCACCAGAGAGTTGCGGCTCATTTTCTATCAACACAGTCATCATACCAAACCACAGCTGCCTGAAGTCAAGTAGGTGATCCAGCTCAATTCTTGAGATGCTAGCAAAATGAGGAAATAACTAGATTCCAGTATAGATTGATTTTACTGGATGCATGCAGTGTGTTTTCTGTAACTGCAGGTGTTCAGTCTCCTTCCTGGACTTCTTTGGAGGCAAGAACACAGTACTAACCCTATTGGAACAGACCAAAAGAAAGCCAGCATTCTTTTCCCATAGTACCCCACCAGATCCACAAACCAGACATGAGGACAGTAAAAAACTGCTCCTGCCTCCCAACCAACTGATATATTGAGGCACACTGCTTCTGATCTCCAAAATAATATATAGTCATTGTGATGGTAGCTGTCCATAGCCTTCTCTTCCATTAAATTGTTTCATCTCTTTTTAAAGCCATCCAAGTTGGTGGCCATGGTGTATGCACATTGAATATTTGTTGCACCCGGTCAAATGACAAATGGATTCTGCACACACACCTCTTTTCAAGCCTCATAAAATCTCATGAGAATAGTTTGGCAAGGTGCATGAATAAACTCCACAATACACCTCCACCTGTGTAGTCTCACAAAGCCACCCTTTTGTTTCTTAAGCAGCTTAAACTCTGCCAATTTTCAGTCTCTGCGCTACTTTTGTTCTGTGTTTCAGAACATGGCACAGCACTTTGCAAGTTGTATGGCTATTCATGGAACACCACCAGCCACCTGGTACCTAGAGTGCACTGCACAAAAATAGAATAACAATGCTATCAGGAAAAAATTGGACTCTGACTCGATGCTTCCCTGATTCCACAGAAATTGGCCAGTGATGTCATAGGTCTGGATGTTACCAGTTCTAAGAAAACTCATTAATGCTCAGAAGCAGACACTAATGGGGGAAATGTCTCAGGATTTAAATCGCTTCACACTGAAAGCAGGTTGCATACTTTGAATACTTCTGTATTTCCATAAGCGCTGTCATAATTTTGGGGAAACGTAGAGGGTATGATGGAACCTATGACTTCTGGAAATGATTTCCCGCCCCCCTTTGATTGAGATTATAATCTGCTAGTTGAGATTTAAATATGAAAGTTCCCAATGGCAGGGTGAAATCCTATACACACTTACCTGGAAGTATATCCCATTGCTTGTAATAAGACTTACTTCTCAGTAGGCATGTGTAGGAATATACTGTTCATTTTGGAGATTATGTACCTGACAGGATGTGAAAATGTAGATAGCTGCGGACCCTTTCAGACCTACATTTTGCTCTGTGTGATTAGTGGTTAATTCAAGAGAGCATCTTGGTGGCACATTTCTTGGCCTGGTTACTTCTGTTCTCTGCACTTTAACCACCTGCTTTCTTTAATAATTTACAGTGGTTGTTACTGTACTCACAGCTTTTCAGTTTTGCTGACAGCCTTCAAGTTCTTTTAAGCTGAATAAGCTTTCCACCCTATATTCTTCTTCAAGTGTGCAAAATATAGATCTCTGGCAAAAATTATGTAGCCAACTTTATTTCGCCTTCATTTTGAAGACAGATATACTAAACCAAGTATCTTATTATTTATGAAGGTATTCAATATTATGCCTATGTCATATATATTACGGTTCGTCTAGGTCTTGAGAAATTATAACAGGAAATGCCCTTGACAGAACAATCTACCACTGGAGGATGTATTGATGCTTTGTCCAGGATTCCAAACATGGTTAGGGTTTCAAAAATGGGAATTCAGATTTCTCTGGGTAAGTTCATGCCAGTCTTCATCTTAATGAACAAAACAGTTGCATTTGGGAAGCCTTCAGATGCTCAGCTTAACCAAATCAGAATTTTAAAAACAGGATGTTAGATTGTCTTTAAAATGATAGTGTTATGGAATGCAGGGCCAGAAGTACAAGTTTAACTGAACATCAGAATGATCATGCCGGTAAAGGAATTGTAGATGTTTTATAGCAGTCATGTCCAGCCCTTCGATCGTTATCTACTGGTTGATCGCGGGGCACCACTGGTTGATCCTGGTAGATCTTGTGATCCTTGTTTACCCCCCCCCATGCTCAACAACTTTGGTCAATCCAATGGGTAGATCACTGCCAGTTTTTTTATAGTGGGAGTAGATCACAGTCTCCTGGGAGTTGGACATGCCTGTTCTATAGCTACCAATAAGTAAAAGAGCAGTAGTAACAACAACAACAACAACTTATTATGCATATGCCACCCATCTGACTGGGTTCCTTCAGCCACTCTGGGCAGCTTCCAGCAAATTAAAACATCAAACATAGTAAAAAACCAAACATTAAAAACCTTCCTATACAGGGCTGCCTTCAGATGTCTTCTAAAAGTCAGGTAGTTGTTTATTTCCTTGACATCTGACAGGAGGGCGTTCCACAGGGCGGGTGCCATGACCGAGAAGGCCTCCTTCCCTGTAACCTCACTTCTTGCAATGAAGTTACGCTGCTACATAACTCTGGCTTGCCAAGTAGGATGGAAAGTAATGTGCAACTCTCCCTCCCACTTCATCTCTGCTAATCTGAACGATGAGTGATCCAGCCACTTTAGTTTATAAACAATTGCTCCTCTTAGGTGCCTTTTCACTATCTGATGAGTCCTGGGTGATGTGGATTATCCAAATCCATATCAATCAGTCTAGATTGGAGCATAGGTTTGGTACCAAAGGTTATTTGGTTGTCAGATCATCTGGAGACAGCCTGGGGGAGTATATTGTCAATTCTCCTGAATCACTCTCAGTGTTCTTTGATCTAGCAAATCTTTTTGGCTTAACTGGCTAAGGGTGGTTTCTCTCCTTTCTCTCTGGTTAGTTCCAGATGATAACACTAAATGACCCCTGCTTCGTAGACATAATACTGTGGGGGTACTGCAATATTCCATTCTGTCCCTAGTGCTTTTTAAACTTTATCTGCAGCTTCCTGTAAGCATCATTATACAATTTCTGTTTTTCTTTTAAATCAGTTATGGATTGGATGA